GCTGTCTCTTCCCCTTTCCTTCCTCAGTGGGCACAGGGACTCAGCTTGCATGTTGAGTGTGCAACCCTGCATTTCTTTTCCCTTTTGCAGGGCCTGCAACACTGGTCATGTGGCTCTGCAGTGGCGGGAGCAATGTGCTCAGCCTCACTGCTCATTGCAAAGTTGAAGCTTAAGCAAGTGGCTTTTCTCTAAGAGGGAAATCAGTTTGGGAGGGTAACTAAACTGTGACCCACTGTGCACTGCTGGTGCTGTGCGTGTTGCTCTGAGTGCTGTCTCACTGTTTATAAACTCACAGGCACAAGCCTCTAGCAACAAAAATGCTAAAAAACTCAGGGATGGCAGGTAAATGGGGAAGTTACTGCTGCAGTTGCCTGAAGGAAGCATTTTATGACAGCATTGTAAAAAAAAAAAAAAATAAGAGAACCTTTGGCCTTAATTCCTGTAGCAAAGATTAAACTTGGCTGGGATCATTTGGTGTAAAAGTGCATTTCGTATTTAAGAGCAGAGCATAGATTTTACAGGTGGAACAGTTGTATGGTCTGTCAACTCTTAAATTGCTTCCTTTAATAGAGTCTTTCATGTGATGTGTCTAGTTTATTACTATTTATTACAGTAACTTCATACTATTACTATTTACTACAGTAATTTTACAGAAATCCCTACTGACTGCAGTAGTCATTAGCCTGAGCCTCTGGAGAGTTGGCAGCCTGCAACACAAAATGCTGTTCTGCGAAGCCCAGAGGAAAGACTCACTTCAGACATCTCTAGTTTCCACCTAATCTGTCAATAACTGTTCCTCTTTTATTTAGCTTTGTTTCCTAAGAAAATTACATTCATGGATGACACTAGCTGTACATGTGCCTGTCAGTCCTTCCCTTAATAACATTTTTAACCTGCTGACCAGTTTAAAAAAAGGCTAGGGACAAATAGTATAATTCTAGTACTCCCGAGGTCAACCTACTCTCAAAGCAAATCCTTCTGCTTCTCTACCAACAGGAGGATGTGCAGACTAGAAAGACCCTATTCATATTCAAATACTCACTCTTTTTTTTTTTTTTTTTAAGACTTCAGAGACACCATATAAGATTCCACAGGCTAGATAAAAAACAAAGGAAGAAATGGATTCCTGCATCAGAAATTGCCTGTGTATGTCCCTAAAACAGAGCCTCTGTCTGTAAATTAACATAAGAAGTGACAGATAGGACTAAAGTTAGAACTCTTATTATTTCTGTAGATTTTTGGTTTAAGTTCTGCTAGAGTTACAAGTCTTAAGGTAGGTTGTTTTGCTGTTACTGCTGTACTGAAAGAATAAGATTCTGCAGCCAGTGCTTTACTAAGGACTAGCTTCACAATGCACAAGGCAGAAAAGAAAGCAGATCATTCTGCATTACAGTATTGTCTACTGCACCTTTCTTTAGTTCCTTAAATCACAAAATAAATTCATGAGGAGCTAAGCATGAAACCAAAGATTCTCCTGCCTAAGAGCGGAATTTGGTTCTGCAGCTACTTCTACTGAACTCCATAGAATCACATGGATACTTTTATTTGTTCTTTTTTCATTGTTTCCTAGCTCACCCTGCTTTTCCTCCAGAATACATAGTCAACTCAGAATATCTGGAGAGAGAACCTCCAAAAGTGTACCCTGAGTGTTCTGGGGTATATCCCTACCACCCGTTTCCCATGGGATTTGCCATCAAGGAGTCAAGCTCTAGGGGAGCACCATCACCTCCAGGGATATCATTTCAGAGAGGTTTCCGACACATTCCTAGCAACTATGGGCCAGGGAATGGAGCTTCTGTGTCAGTAAGTAGCGATTTTTTAATTACCTCTGGAAATACTGCTGTATTTACTTTTAGCTGCCTTCTTGCTGTTAAAGTGCCCATGAAAAGTTACCCTGCTTATCAGTTACTTCACAACATTTTGATGTATTATGTTGAAGAAAATATTAGCAAATGGTGGTGTTAATAGTCTGACCTGAACCTAGAAGAGCAAAGGGGCTAGATTTTGTGAAGTGTTTTGGGGCATATACATCCTGCTAACATCTGCAATGACCTTTTGGAATGATGGCAGCTGGACACTTAATATGGTCACGTTGTGCCAGCATAGATGGCACAAAATGCACATTGGGAGGTTCCTTTTCTTCTGTGCAGGACAAATCTAATGGGGAGGGAGAGTGTCAGGGCTTGGCCAAGGCACCGCAGCTGCAGAGAAGAACAGGGAAAAGTCAGCTTCCACAAGGATGCGAATCAGCGTGGTCAGGTATTTCTGATTTGAGACATGTGCTTTCTCAAAAACAGTGGAAAACTGTTGTGGTTAACAGAAGTTTCAGATGAAAAATAATGTTTAGCATCATAGGACCCCCACCTTCGAACTACACAGACATGGGAAGAAACAAGATGCTAAATTGCCTTGTCAATTGTGGTGTGGGGAGGGGCACTTCAAGTTCCTTTCAGTGCTGTCAGTCATTTTGGTTTAAACTGGCAGTGCCCAGTTTTTGTACCACAGTTGGGCGTATTATCAGATTTCCAGCTGCCATGTGCCATTCTGTCTGCATCGAGTAAAATTTGTCAGTTCATGTTAAGGTAGTGATCTGCCTCAAGACTACTAGATTTATTATGCTTGCATAGAAATTCCCTGTCACATTTTAGGGGTTACTGAGAAAAAGGGTGGCTAGCAGCAGTCTGAGATCCAGATAAATTATCCTGGTGGGCTGGATATACGCAGGTTGGGAAATGCCTTATCTAGTCCATCACTGTATGTGTTTTTGAGCTGAATTTTTAACTGTCCTGAAACAGATGGGAAGATCTCATAAAAATTCTATCTGTACCAGGGTGCATGGCCAGATCCAAGAGAAAATGCTCCTGTTTCTCTCATGCTAATGTTTCTGAGGGATGGAAATATCTCTTTGCACATGAAATGAGTTTCATCATGCTCTAACAGGTCTGGTGATCACAGAAGACCAGTGCTGTGGGGCACTCCGTGGTGCACACCAGCCCATGAGTGTAGGTAGAGCCACTCACTTCACTGGGCTCAGGGGAGAAGCCATAACTAGCAGGGAGGTGGTGGCAAGAAGCATTTTCCTAGGTTGCCTCTCTGTTGCATGAAGACTTCCAGGTTTGTTCAGTAGGAAGTGCACCGGGTCAGTGATGAAGGTGAGCTCTTCCTGGTTTAAACCAACTGCTCTAATGAGGTGCCAGAACAGGTGATGAGGACTTAGAAGGCCAGTTTCAGCTAAGACATGGTGTGATAAGCTGCTACTTCTCAGTTTCAGCATGTTACACTACGCACAGGCTTTGCACATGCCGATATGTGCATGGATGTGGCAGCATATGGCTGCCAAAATGGACAAAAAATGCAAAATTCACAGGAAAAATATAAAACAGAAATTGATCCATACTGCAGATGTATCCTGAAGAGAGTCTTTAGATGCTTTGCTTCATGTATTTCCACAGATTCCAGAGGGAGGTGCAGATTTCCATCAAGCATACTATGCTCCTCTACCTCAGTTCATCCCACCAGGTTTTCTGCCAGGGATTCATTACATTCCACCTCCCCTTTCAGTGAACATGTTGGCTGAAACAACCAAGGAAGCACATGGTAAGGAAGTATGAGATGAGCCCTGGGAGATCCAGCTTTAACCTGGTTTCAGTATCTACCCACAGAGGTGGAAGCCCCAAGAGACCCAGATTCTAGCTAGTTTACAGGCGTTCCCAGATCCCTGTGATGGAGCCAGGACTGAGATCCTGAAGTTCCAGGACAGATTTCCACCTTTTACAGCTCTGGGAAGGGCAGACTTGGGGGGAAGCAGCCTTACATGTTTGGGTTTTCCAGCTGGTAAGCACCTCAATCTGATAGAGACATTGAAGGCCCCAGGACTCAGAGCTGTTCAAGAATGTGATCTATTGATGTTTTCAAAGTGAAAATATTTTTCTAAAGAGCTAGTTTGCAGGACATATTTTAAAAATGATTTGACTCTTGCAATTCAGACAAAATGTTTAAAAAATTGCAGACTAACACTCAGCATGAATAATATGACATTTCTTGCTCATCTCAAAATCCTACATTTTAATTGCTGTAAATGAAAGGTTGAATCTTCAAAATCTCAACTTGTTTTATTGAATCTCACAGGATTTTAAATTTCTGGCATAGCTTAAGTCTTTGTGCCCCCTCTCTTTTGGGTCTCTTTCATGTATTGTGCCTACACGTGGACATATTTGTGATTGTATTTGCAAGTTTTTCATTTGGCTGCAGCTAGCTGTGACCACAAGAGGGTAGAGCTGCTCAGAGAATTAACCACTAGCACTGGATGAGTGAAAAGCCAGTTTTATTTTAAATTTTTTTGAAAATGCGGATAAGTAAATACAACTTTATTTCTCTTCTTGAACATGAGAAGAAAAAATAGTTAATCTGACTGGTTTTGAAACAGATTACAATAATCACCCAGTGAAAAATCAAATCTCTTGTGTAAGAGGAAGGAGAAAGAGGAGTATAATTATCTCATTTGAATTGAAAAGATTTTGATGGTGGTTATATGGGACAAAATAGAAGTTGGAGGGTTTTTGGCCTGGTTTCTTGACAACATAAGGCTTGTGCAGTCTCATTTTCTGTTAATGTCAGTCCTCTCATAACTTTTCAACCGATTAGTTATTTTCAGCCAAACATATCTGTTGTGATCACAGGCCTACACAATATTGATCTGCAAGGGAAACAGATGCCTCCCACAAAATGGTTTGTTTGCAGCCATGTCGTGGTGTTTGGCTGGCTGTCAGTTTGCACTCAATTCCTGACTGACGCGTGTGTACCTTGGCCAACAACCAAGTGCCTGCCAGTCAGCTCAGCAGTGGGCACATATCTTTAGAGCAGAGCATACCTGCTTCTTGTCTGGCTGGAAAGCCGAAGAAAAGTCAGCAGGAGATGTGGTGGACAGTGGGAATATGAAGAATATGGCAGTGTGGGGGGTGTACAGACATCGTATGTAAAATGTAGTTATTTTAAGGCACTGACAAAGGCACTAGGATGTTGATGCAGCATGTAGGAGATACTGGTGTGCTGGAAGTGAAATAATATGGGCTGAGTTTGAGGGGAAGAGAGGAAAACAAAGGCTGGCAGGCAAACCAGAAATTGTATGTGAAGATTAATCGGGTTTGTGACTTGGGAGGGGACAAAAGATCTGGGGGATGCTGCAGTGGCAGTACCTGTAGGGAGCTGCAGCTGTTCTGTTGGAGTGTGTGTGGGAATGGGAAGAAATGGGCAGTAGCAGACAAACATGGGGGACACGGAGAGAAGTAGTGGTACTGTGTGAGGAAGACAAAGGAAATCCAGTCCTGTACTGGTAAAGTTGTACTGGCCAAACAATCATGAAAACAGGCAACTGGATAGAGAAGGGGGGTTATGAGAGCACCCCCTGGAGAGCAAAATGCCATCTAATGACCTCAGCCCTTATTACACACTAGGGAAATCACAACCCAGGCACAAAGCCATAGGAAACAATGCATCATGCATTGTGCTGCTCAGAGAACAATCCAGTTTTCTTACGGAGAAAGTACAAATTAATTCCATGGCATAGCATTTGTGCTCCAGGATATGTAGGAATTTGCAATTGTGACCCAGTGAGGGGGAATATTTCTGCATGAGGTCATATACAAAATAGCCTGCCAGCAGAAGGTGCAGCTGTAGAGGGAAGTTACAGTGAAACTACTGGTTCTTTGATTTTGGTACTCAGGATGCTTGACAAAAGAGAAAAGCTGTAACATTTAGTGCATAGGGATGTGTTAGGATTGCATCTGTCTTTTTTCCCAAGAAAGGAACTGACTAAAACCCAGAATTAGGCTAGGGAACATCCTTCCTCCAGAACTGAGGTGAAACAGGCTTTCTGGCAAAACTGTTGCAGGAAAATGGATATAGAAAACTCTAGCAGGGACAACTGGTGAGAAGAAATGTCTGTGATCTCTGCCCCAAAGGGAATCTGAGATGAAGACAAATAAAAGAAAAAACTAAGTCCTCCCTGAAAAAGATATTGCAAGGCTAGAAGCTGCTACCAAAAAGGTTTGAGTCAATAGCTGACTGCAGTTGAATGACTGAGGCCAGTTAGGTTTACAATGGTGATATAAACTATAGGCCATGTTGTTACACAATTTCACGCAGTATTGACTAGTAAAGTTATGAGGGTTTGACAAAATAAACACAAGGTTATGTCCAGTAAAACAGCCAGTACAGCATCTGAGGATAGGATCTGATTGCAGATTGTTAGGTTTCTAAAAGAACAAGCCACGGAAAACCAAACAAAAACCCCAGTCACCTGTGAGGAAATTGGCAAGTAAATACTTTATAAAATTAAAATCCCTAGCTGGATTTGAAGAAGCGATTATTTAGTCTGTCAAGGCCTTTTGAGAATTCATGGGAGAATTATGAAGGCATGGCATAGATTCACTGCGGTTAAGTGGGCAAAAGAGTCTGCCTCATGCTTCTACTCCAGTGCAGCTTCAACACTTGCCATCCTGAAGCCTCTTGCTATATTTCTTTAAGCATGGTTGAAACAGTCAACTGCTGTCTGAAGTGCAGTATCTCAGTTCAGAGAGCTGAAGCTCTTGATGTCAAGCACCTTTGAATTAACTGGGTTGAAAAACAAACTGGATTGACAAACGTAGTATTGCATTGAGAATTTACCTCTGGAAATGTGATTGATACCAGGTGTAATGCAAACTGAAATACAGGGTTGGGGGGTTTTGGTTTGTTTGTGTTTACCTCTGACCTTACACTATTCTTCATTTTTATTTCAGCTCCTGAAGCCAACAGTCAGGATTCAGCGGTGGTTCATGAACCTGACCAACCATCTTCTTCCCCAGAAGAAACAAGCAGAGACCGATCTGTATATTCTGAACAGTAAATGGGCTGGAGAAGAGCTGAGTAGCAGGCAGCGCTATTTTCATTTTGAGGAGAATGTTAGTTAATATGAGGGTAGAGTGACATTCACTAAGTAGCCACAACAGCTAGAAGAAGGGGATTAGCCCCTGACCTCACTTGATTATTATGTTAGAGCTACCAGGCTCACAGCTCTGCCTCCCTAGCACTGTAAAGCCCTTGTTCTTAATAGAGGTTTTCCAGAGTCCTGGTAAATCTCTTCCCTGTTAAGCAGGTGGAAGCAGCAAATGGTTATGACTGCATTTGTTTCCTTTGCTGAGGTTAGATGGCTCCCTGACTTTGGAGTGAGGTCTCCAAGCCACATACCTTCTGTGGCCTTCTGATGTTCATGACAGTAGTAAAAAATCTGTTGTTTGTGTATCAATTTTCTGCAAAGGAAACCTTGTTCTGAGTATTGTGGAAGAATTAAGTGATGTGGAGCCTGAAAACTTCAGTGAGAGAGGATGGGAAGACAGTCTGGGTTGCTGATTTACTTGACTGCCTAAGAACATGATTCACTGGATTCAGCAGGGTGAGGGAGCCGTGGGTGCTCCGTGCACTTGTCAAGAAGGGCGTGGGAGGAATTTGCAGAAGGGTCTGATACAGGCTGAAATCCAGTGTCTCCACATTGTTTCCTGGGTGAACTGCCTTTAAGGCACTTTCTGTTCAGATTGGGGACAGACTGATTTGGAATGGCTTCATGTCACACAGGCTTCAGGATTTTGAATGTCCTTGATGGTCTATACATCATTGCAGTGTTGTTTAACTCAGTACAGCTGAAACTAAACAGTACTATTTGTTTGTGAAGGGCTCGTGTAGACAGCTTTATACATATGTATTGGAACTGCGCTGTGGTGTAACAAGGTGTGCAGAGATTGCCTAGGAAATGAGGACAAAACACCATTTAGCATAATAATTAGTCAAAGCCATACTATGATAATTTTCAGTCATAATGTTTAATTAAAAATGAAAGGTACATTCCTCTACTGTTTTGTCTAGAGGAACTGGTTTTGTATTAAGTGGATCAGCTGTTAATGTTTGAATAATTTGGGGGGTAGTTTTGTATAATTAAAAAAGATACATTAAATTGCTGTTATGGTTTGGATGATTTCAGGCTTGCACATATCTAGGCAAATGTCAGATGTTGCCCTGAACAGCTCTGTGTAACAAACTGGTCTGGAGAGAGATTTAGGCTTCAGTATTTTTCTTCTACAACTTTTGACTGCTGCTGTAGAGGTGAGCGCAGTAAAATAAACATTCTTCTTTTCTGCTACTTGTCCCTTGCTCAATGCAAGATGTAAAGAAATTATACTAAGATGATCTTTTTCTTTAATGTAGCAGATGATCTGCTGGAATGCTTTCCAGCACACAGGGGTTTGAGGGACAGTGAGTGAAAGTGGCAAACTTAGAACTGCCAAGAGGAAAAACTGAACATGTATCTATAGCAAATAATCTGGTGTACAACTTGTTATATACTAGATTTACAACAGCATCTCTGCTCCTCTTAAAATTACTGTCTGCTTGGAAAATCTGGATACTTCTCTAAGGTGTCTGGATAGAGCAAAGCTTTTTTCAGAATAAAATAATCTACAAAGTACTAGCAGCACCCTCAAAGCAGGTTCCTCTGTGGATGAAGGGTTCTTTTTTTTTTATATATAATATAATGATTTAAGGAAATAGTAATGTACAAGATGAACAGTTGAATAGTCTCCTTCCCAGATATTTTTCTAAAGTCATATTTAGTGTTGTATTACTCCTTAAATCTCAAAGCAAGATGGACTCCAGCCCGTTTCACTGACTGTAATGCACAGTCATTGTAGATACACTGCATATACAGTGCTGTTTTCTCTGTTTTGCTGTGCCAGTGACTGCTTCCAGACTGCCAAGCCAAACTCCTTATTTAACTTTTCCTCCGTCTTTTTGAACTGTTGGTGAGCGAACCAAAGCCTTTACTTTGGCTGTTTGAATGATGGCATGGCACTCCAGTAGGATCTCTCTCACTGCATTGCTGCAGACCAGTGTTCATCTCCAGAGGGATGCAGTGAGTTTAAAGAGCCAGAGAAAGGCAACTAAACTGAGCAATGAGATAGAGGAGTTGCCATACAACGGGAGTCTAAAAATAGACTAGAGTCTTCAGTTTGGAGAAGAGAAAGTTGAGGGGGGATATGGCTCTGTTTTAGAACATCATGTCAGCTGTGGCAAAGGAGATGCAAAACCATTACCAAACCTTCCACTTCCATACACGTGAAGGATAAGAAGGTGACCAGGGGCAGGTCTGACCAGCCTGATTGTCTTCTGTAAGGAAATGACACACATCTACCCTAGTCTAAAGTCTTAACAGCTGAACAGTTACAGTTGGCTTTCCTAGAGCATCAGTAGTGAGGCCAGTACCGTTTAATATGAATAATCATATCATCAGTCAAACTTTGTTAGGTGTCATTTCAGATTTTTATATTTTAGGAAATTTGTCCTCAAGTTCTTGCACCTATCTCTGCCTGGAAAAGTACAGGACTTGGCAAGAGAATTAAAGTGAGTAACTCTCCAGTTGAGAGGAAGAATTATCTTACATGGATAATTCAAGGTTTCATTCTTCCATTTTATGCTCAGCTTGTCCTTTTTAGCCAAGGAAAAAATGTTCCTTGACAGCTGGTATTGTCATACTGCGCACTTAAGGACTTCAAAGTGAATAATTTTAATTCCAAACTTAGTGCCAACCAATGTTTTCAATAATTAAACTCTGTGATCTCTTCTGACTCCATTTATTTAAATAAGTGACTTAGGGATAATGAAATCAATTTGGATTGAAACGGAATGATTTGGATTAGACAAGTCACTCAGAGGTTGTTCCAGCCTAAATCATCCCAGAATTTTATTGGTTTTTATTAAGGCTGAAGCCACATAGATTTTGGGCAAATTCATAAAATTTGGGGAGAAGAAGGAAAATTAGCTATGATACCTATTTCTGAAGTCTTTCTGCATGCAAACTGCTACTGACTGCAGTAGGAATTCTGCTCATAGCATTTGTCAGCAGTATTCTGATTTCTGAGGATTGACTCCCTTGCTAAATAGACCTGAACTTCTGAAGATGTGATTCCTAATACCTGACACTTCTGTCAATCCTCTGTCCTCACTGGAAGCCCCCAGGCCATCACAGAGCAACAAGATTTGTTTGTACACTGATGGGGAAAACCTGAAATTAGGAACCAGTTATTTAATGTTTACTCACACCACTAATTTCATTACTTTCAGTGGAATTATTTGCAAGGGTACAGAGTTGACAACATTGGCTAGGTATGCAAGTTTAGGATCCAAGCTTTATACAGAGGTGTCTGTGAAACTGTCCAAAACCTCAGATTATTGTAGATTTGCATTTTCTGTAGGAGCTTTGGGAAACCAAACCCAAGGGGTTCTAGAATGATCACATAATATGTCTATTCTGCAAACATATGTAAGATTCATTTGTCATTGCCCTACACCAAACTGCTAGCTGCTAACACTTCTGTGGTATACGCTTCTACATCTGGACTGAAGCAGGTTTTCGTATGACAGTAATTATAATACTCTTTCTAGGTCTTTTTTTTTTTTCTTTTTCTTCTTGGAATTAGATGCACCCAGTTGGAAACCTCCAAATCCACAGCAAGACTATAGCTGTTTTTTCCACATCAATGAGTAATTAATTTTGAACAGCAATCCAAAGAAATATTTAATTGCCTACCAGTAAAGTCAGCTTGCTGCAAACAAAATTCTCCCTCCCCTTAAAAAAATAATTTTCATGACAGAAAAATTCTTTATGATGTGAAACATACCTACTTTGGAACAGTGGAAACTTTAATTAAATCATTCTTATGGGCAAGTGGGTCTGGTTTTCCTAATTTTTTGCCCAATATTTTACTACTGCAACATTAGCAGTAGTCAAGAGTTATGTCTCTACTTAGCTTGCCAGAACATAAGGGAGAAATCCAAATATAAAGACTTTGTGGCATCTGTTCCTGAAATCAGAGTGTCCCTCCATGTTTTATTGTAGCCCAGGCCACTGAAAGAGCTCCAGATCCACCACAGATGACCAGGTAGTGATGTGCCTATTCACCCACCCAAGTATTTTACTTGCATGAGTATCCTTACAGGTATGTCTTACCAGACATTAGTAAGGTTTGAAGAGCTAGAACATTTCTGGATAAAACAAACCCACCCAAACCAGCAAGCTTATTTTAGTATTACTTTTATTTACAGTGGGCAACATTTTTCTGTTGTTTCTCCCTGGTGGTCCTTCCCACTGGCTCTTTAGATATTGTCCTCAGCTGGTCAACATTAGTGACAACCTTGCTACTGACTTCATAGGGTGATCCCCTATGGATCTAATGATGGGCCAGTTGTGATCTCACACTGTTTTCACTTTTATTTTCTACAACTGTCTTTAGTGAAGGCATTTCTGGTTTTATTTACTAATTATTGTCAGAGTTTTATAGTCTTACTGGTACAATCTACAAGTAGACAGGCCACATAAGCTAGAGCAAATACAAAACATTTATTTTTACAAAACCTGCTTTAAGTAACAGTCATATGTGTAGTTCCCTGGGAGAACCTTCCTAGTTTGTCATGACAGGCTCTGTTTCCCGTGAAGAAATGTGGTCTTTTCATTAAGACTGTTTCTTACACTCTTCCTACACTTGTATTCAAATAATTAGAAAGTCTCATGTACATGCAGATAGTTATTTTTTTAAATTCCCTTCCTCAGGGACTGTCTCAAATGGTGAAATCATTCTTTACTTCCTGATGTTCCTCAGTCCTGGGATTACAAATTTGTTTTTAAATATCTCTAGGCACTTTGGCCATCTTCCTGCCTGCCTTTCTGAAGGCATGCACAAGACTAGTAATCCTGTTCCCCAAAGCTGCCCAGCTTTGTAGAGATCTGCAGAGGCCTCACCTGCTTACTGTACTTTCTTTACTGACTGAGCCTGCAGCTGTTTTGTTTTTTTCTCAAAACAC